ATTTTACTTGAAAGAACAAGTGAACTTGTTCAGATGAACTATGGTTATTCAGACTTAGGTATTCAACATTTTCTCAGAAATGAATCATGAGTTTTTTACTTTGAAGACAACAACTAAGAGTGTTTTTTAGCAATGACAACATCTGAGCTTTAAAAGAAAAATTATAATTTGGGGAAAGTTGTATACGCTACTGTGAGTACGGCAGCTTCCCAATACTTACAGACTGGCCTGGTCAGGTCAGTGGAGATATTGATGAGTATAACTTTGCAATATTGCATAATGAAATGTGCCATTATTTGGAAGTTTTACATAACTCATGTTTTCCAAATAACTGATTTGTGATGTTACAAAATCATGGATGCTTAACAGATTCATTCAAAGTGCAAGATAGAACATTGAATTTTAATGTAACAGAAAACAAAAAGTTTATTGTTTCAGATTCCGTATAACAACTAATCATGATAAATTACAGATAATCGAGTTTTGGTATGTTATTAAAATGTCTAAAAAAACTATTAAAGGCACCTTCTCTTTTCCATATGCCTATCTCTGTGAGGACATATTTCTTTATGTACCAAAACAAAATCTTGCAATCAACTGAATGCAGATGTATTCTTGTCTTCTATTAAGTCAGGAATTAAAGATGTTTGCAAATATTTAAAACACGGCCAATTTTTTCCAAAAATTTTTTAAATACAGTAATTGCTCATAAAATACGTTAACATATAATCCTTTTAAAACAGATGTTTCAAGATTTCTGTTTTGATTTTTATGAGAACTGCAATGACAAAGTATAAAAAGTACAAGAAAATCTAATATATATTGAGTATCTGTGGTCCAGAGACTGTGTTTAATATGCATCATCTATCATCCTCACCACCTACTGACAAATTATTCTTCCATTTTAGAGCTAAGGAAATGGAGGTAACAGGAAGTTCATACAGCTAATAAAGAAATAAAGTGTTTTCACTGCTTCTAATTACCCTGTAAAGTTTTGATTTTAATATCTAATATCCCCAAATATCTTTTTTTCAGAGATTACTGCAATGACCTTAAAATATCAGATAATAACACTGAATTTCTTTTAAATTTCAATGAGTTTATTGACAGAAAAACTCCAAACAACCCATCATGTAAGTATGCATTAATTTATAATAATTGCTTCAGTGTGGTTATATTTAAAATGATCAAATCTTGGTTTGTGTGATCATATTATATGCTATGATTATATTTGTTTGTTGGTGTGCTGATTTATTTACTTTGTAGATTTTTTTTTTAGCACCCAC